TTTCCACAAGACACAGTGTATACTCACCCGCCTCCCTCTTGCGTTTGTTATAGGTATCTTTTTTTTCTGGTGAGGAATTTGATAAAAGACGTGGCCACAATAACTACGCAAATGTTTCTCGATAATTTACAAGACTCTGGGATTACCAATGGTGGCGTTACGGACAGAGTTGAGCGTATCCACAGCTCCGTGTTTGCGTTACGGACAGAGTTGAGCGTATCCATAGCTCCGTGTTTGCGTTACGGACAGAGTTGAGCGTATCCACAGCTCCGTGTTTGCGCTACGGACAGAGTTGAGCGTATCCACAGCTCCGTGTTTGCGTTACGGACAGAGTTGAGCGTATCCACAGCTCCGTGTTTGCGTTACGGACAAAGTTGAGCGTATCCATAGCTCTGTGTTTGCAGTCTTGTATAAGTAAGGAGGGAAGTGCAAGCCTTCACAGGTTTCGGTAATGAGTAAAATCATCTTCATTTAGGGGTTTACTGTCAACTCTGATGGAAAGCCTGTGGTCAGTTATCAGCATAGATAACCGTAGTGTTGCGAGACGTTGTAATTACGTTTCACAGTGAGATGTAAAAGCCTCAAGTCTAGCGATAGGTGAAACGTCGTAATAACGTCCCACTGTGGATGAAAAGTCGTAATAAAGTCCCTTGTAGGTGAAACGTCGTAATAAAGCCCCATTTGAGTGAAACACATAATAAACCCTTGTGGATTAAATTTATTGATAAAAGCACAAACATCGGGTGAAATGTGCCAACAAAACCTCATTTGGATAAGTTTCACAAACCCTCACCATTGGTGAAACGTTGCAATAAAGAACACTGCGAGGAGAGCATCTCAGCAAAGCCCCACTATGAGTGATACGTCGTAATCAAAACCCACTGCGGGTAAAACGTCGCAATGAAACCCTACTGTAGGTGATACGTCTGAAAGCTTCAAAAGTGGGTGAAATGTGATATTGCTTCACTGTGGCTGTAACGATGCAATAAAACCCAGTGTGTGTGTGTGTGTGTGTGTGTGTGTGTGTGTGTGTTGTGTGTGTGTGTGTGTGTGTGTGTGAGAGAGAGAGAGAGAGAGAGAGAAACATAACAACGAAGCCCTCCCCCCCACAAAGGGTGAAACGTCGAAATCCACCCCCCCCCCTCTATAGACGAAATGTTGCAACAAACTACCAAGGTGAGCGAAACATCAGAATAATTCCCCACTGTCAGTGAAACGTCATAATAAACCCATATATCATGTATGACACAACAGTGAAGTCCCACCATGGGTGAAACGTCGTAAAATAAAGACTTTCCCACTTCAAAGTGTCTTTGAAATTACAAAAAAAAAAAAAAAAATTAGAAAGACGGAGATGGATGCTGGTAGCATCAAAATATTTTTTTTTGCCGACCATTGATGAGGCGAGAAATGTTGTTATCGGCTGTAAATCTCTCTCTCAGGGATGAACCTCGTCCATAACTCTCGCATCTCCTCATATATCATGCACAAGCCACGAGAAAACACGGGAAATGGGCAGCAACGTACTGGAGAAATGGACTGAGAAGCAGAGACAACACGTGTTAGCATAAGAATGGTGGTAGCTGAAGGATGGTAGTGAGCTGAAGGATGGTAGCTGAAGGATGGTAGTGAGCTGAAGGATGGTAGCTGAAGGATGGTAGTGAGCTGAAGGATGGTAGCGAGCTGAAAGATGGTAGCTTAATTTCATCCTGTCGGTATTATATACAATTCTTGTACTACTACTACTACTACTACTACTACTACTACTACCACCTCTTCCTGCCTATATATAGCCGTCCTGCTCCACCTCTGTTAGTGTGACTTTGTCAATGGTCCAAGTCGGACCGAAACGTCGTCGTAAGCTTCTCTCTTTTATGTGCGGGTTATTTGTGTATCGTTCCAGTCACGGTATTGTGCCTTTTTGTTATTTATGGTAGCTGAAGGATGGTAGCTGAAGGATGGTAGTGAGCTGAAGGATGGTAGCTGAAGGATGGTAGTGAGCTGAAGGATGGTAGCTGAAGGATGGTAGTGAGCTGAAGGATGGTAGCTGAAGGATGGTAGTGAGCTGAAGGATGGTAGCTGAAGGATGGTAGTGAGCCGAAGGATGGTAGTGAGCTGAAGGATGGTAGTGAGCTGAAGGATGGTAGTGAGCTGAAGGATGGTAGCTGAAGGATGGTAGTTAGCTGAAGGATGGTAGTGAGCTGAAGGATGGTAGTTAGCTGAAGGATGGTAGTGAGCTGAAGGATGGTAGTGAGCTGAAGGATGGTAGTGAGCTGAAGGATGGTAGTTAGCTGAAGGATGGTAGTGAGCTCAAGGATGGTAGTGAGCTCAAGGATGGTAGTGAGCTCAAGGATGGTAGTGAGCTCAAGGATGGTAGTGAGCTGAAGGATGGTAGTGAGCTGAAGGATGGTAGTGATCTGAAGGATGGTAGTTAGCTGAAGGATGGTAGTTAGCTGAAGGATGGTAGTGAGCTGAAGGATGGTAGTGAGAAGGATGGTAGTGAGAAGGATGGTAGTGAGAAGGATGGTAGTGAGCTGAAGGATGGTAGTGAGCTGAAGGATGGTAGTGAGCTGAAGAATGGTAGTGAGCTGAAGGATGGTAGTGAGCTGAAGGATGGTAGTGAGCTGAAGGATGGTAGTGAGCTGAAGGATGGTAGGTAGCTGAAGGATGGTAGGTAGCTGAAGGATTGTAGTTAGCTGAAGGATGGTAGTGAGCTGAAGGATGGTAGTGAGCTGAAGGATGGTAGTGAGCTGAAGGATGGTAGTAAGCTGAGGGATGGTAGTGAGCTGAAGGATGGTAGTGAGCTGAAGGATGGTAGTGAGCTGAAGGATGGTAGTGAGCTGAAGGATGGTAGTGAGCTGAAGGATGGTAGCTGAAGGATGGTAGTGAGCTGAAGGATGGTAGTGAGCTGAAGAATGGTAGTTAGCTGAAGGATGGTAGTGAGCTGAAGGATGGTAGTGAGCTGAAGGATGGTAGCGAGCTGAAGGATGGTAGTGAGCTGAAGGATGGTAGTGAGCTGAAGGATGGTAGTGAGCTGAAGGATGGTAGCGAGCTGAAGGATGGTAGTGAGCTGAAGGATGGTAGTGAGCTGAAGGATGGTAGTTAGCTGAAGGATGGTAGTGAGCTGAAGGATGGTAGTAAGCTGAGGGATGGTAGTGAGCTGAAGGATGGTAGTGAGCTGAAGGATGGTAGTAAGCTGAGGGATGGTAGTGAGCTGAAGGATGGTAGTTAGCTGAGGGATGGTAGTGAGCTGAAGGATGGTAGTTAGCTGAAGGATGGTAGTGAGTTGAAGGATGGTAGTGAGCTGAAGGATGGTAGTTAGCTGAAGGATGGTAGTGAGCTGAAGGATGGTAGTTAGCTGAAGGATGGTAGTTAGCTGAAGGATGGTAGTGAGCTGAAGGATGGTAGTGAGCTGAAGGATGGTAGTGAGCTGAAGGATGGTAGTGAGCTGAAGGATGGTAGCGAGCTGAAGGATGGTAGTGAACTGAAGGATGGTAGCGAGCTGAAGAATTGTAGCTGAAGGATGGTAGTGAGCTGAAGGATGGTAGTGAGCTGAAGGATGGTAGTGAGCTGAAGGATGGTAGTGAGCTGAAGAATGGTAGTGAGCTGAAGGATGGTAGTTAGCTGAAGGATGGTAGTGAGCTGAAGGATGGTAGCGAGCTGAAGGATGGTAGCGAGCTGAAGGATGGTAGTGAGCTGAAGGATGGTAGCGAGCTGAAGAATTGTAGTTAGCTGAAGGATGGTAGTGAGCTGAAGGATGGTAGTGAGCTGAAGGATGGTAGTGAGCTGAAGGATGGTAGTAAGCTGAGGGATGGTAGTAAGCTGAGGGATGGTAGTGAGCTGAGGGATGGTAGTGAGCTGAAGGATGGTAGTGAGTTGAAGGATGGTAGTGAGCTGAAGGATGGTAGTGAGCTGAAGGATGGTAGTTGGCTGAAGGATGGTAGTGAGCTGAAGGATGGTAGTGAGCTGAAGGATGGTAGTTAGCTGAAGGATGGTAGTTAGCTGAAGGATGGTAGTGAGCTGAAGGATGGTAGTGAGCTGAAGGATGGTAGTGAGCTGAAGGATGGTAGTGAGCTGAAGGATGGTAGTGAGCTGAAGGATGGTAGTTAGCTGAAGGATGGTAGTGAGCTGAAGGATGGTAGCGAGCTGAAGGATGGTAGCGAGCTGAAGGATGGTAGTGAGCTGAAGGATGGTAGCGAGCTGAAGAATTGTAGTTAGCTGAAGGATAGTAGTGAGCTGAAGGATGGTAGTGAGCTGAAGGATGGTAGTGAGCTGAAGGATCGTAGTGAGCTGAAGGATGGTAGTAAGCTGAGGGATGGTAGTGAGCTGAAGGATGGTAGTGAGCTGAAGGATGGTAGTGAGCTGAAGGATGGTAGTTAGCTGAAGGATGGTAGTAAGCTGAGGGATGGTAGTGAGCTGAAGGATGGTAGTGAGCTGAAGGATGGTAGTGAGCTGAAGGATGGTAGTTGGCTGAAGGATGGTAGTGAGCTGAAGGATGGTAGTTAGCTGAAGGATGGTAGTTAGCTGAAGGATGGTAGTGAGCTGAAGGATTGTAGTGAGCTGAAGGATGGTAGTGAGCTGAAGGATGGTAGTGAGCTGAAGGATGGTAGTAAGCTGAAGGATGGAAGTGAGCTGAAGGATGGTAGTGAGCTGAAGGATGGTAGTAAGCTGAAGGATGGTAGTGAGCTGAAGGATGGTAGTGAGCTGAAGGATGGTAGTGAGCTGAAGGATGGTAGTGAGCTGAAGGATGGTAGTGAGCTGAAGGATGGTAGTGAGCTGAAGGATGGTAGTAGCAGAACAATGGTAGCATCAACTGGATGGTAGTAACAGAAGG